GCAGTGCAGGTGTTTGCTTATGTTGAGGGGGAAGAAAATCTAGGCTAAATGTATCCTTTAGGCAATTATAGAAGTTAGTTAAGATTGTGCTATTGTATTGCATTGAGGTTTTTACAGACCAAATAAATTGGTAACATGTATCTATCTGCCTACTTACTGCTGTGCAGGCAGGAATTGGTGGTGGGTCTCACCAAGGAGCTGACTATGAACATCAACCTAACTAACTCCGGGGAAGATTCCTACATGACGAGAATCGCTTTGAATTACCCCAGAAACTTACAATTTAAGAGGATACAAAAGGTAACTGCGATGGCGGTTTTGGAAACATGCCACTCATAGCTTTCCCTCCCTGTACACCTGCTTTTTCATGGCAACCTCCGAACGGGCCTCCCTGCCTCCAGTCTCCTCATGGTCCATCCAATAACCTAGGCGAATCCCCTCCTGTCCAACCGTGTGTTGAGCTGGGCGCATAGTCGTGCTGTTCTCCGCCTAAAGAGCCACCATGGTGCTGTTCTAGTCACTCCTTGCCTGTAGCCTCTCTTAACCAGGGCTCTGAGAGGGAGATGTTCTCTCTGTTAGCCTGGCCTGGGAAAGTAAGTCTGCCCTGCCATTCGTCACCCTGGGATCACAGACTCAAAGCCAGTGGCAAGATACTAGGAGACAATAATGCTCCCAAGGGCATCCTGCAGCTGTGAAGTCATATGGACAAGTGTCCTCTAAAATCATAGGCAATCACAAACTTTGCTGCCTGCAGTTCTGTCTATAATTATCAAATCATTTCACTCTTGACACTGGAGAATATGTCACTTTGAAGAGAAGCAGTCTCAGCTTTCATCTGAGGAGCAGAGCTTCCGATAAAGGATTCTGGACACAACTGTACAAAACCACCCTAATAGTTTCCAAGGGAGGGTCCCTGGGTCTAGTCCTCTTTACTTAGTGTAGCCTGTCAAAACTCGGCTTCACTTATATTTCACCAGAACTGTACCCTTTCCCAGGATCCTTTAACTGTCTTTGCTTTTCTTTGGTGAGACATACCCTGGTGCAGTTTTCCTCACTGTAAGGGATCAGGAAACCTGCCTTTGTCACACTATAAGTTTGTCCCTGGGGTCTTAGGCTTTTTGAGCTAGGACAGCCTCCATTCCATGAAAATAATGAAATTATCTCAGAAGCTTCTAGAGTGGAAGTGGTGTTGCACTCTCCGTGGGAGAATTAAGAAAATTGTTAATGAAATCGCCTTCTGTATTCAGTGTTCCAGATGAAGATCCAAGGCTGAGAGGTGGTGCTGGGTTCATGCTAGCCTCCAGCCCATCTCAGGATATTAAGTTTGCATGGGTCCAAGGCCCAGTTCAAATGCCTTCTTACCAATGAAGACTTCACAGATTCCTTCCTCCTAGTTGGATTTCACCTCTTTCTATATGGTTTTCCTTGTACCTTTACAGAACCACTCCTTGGGCCTTGTATTTAAATTCCTCAACTATCTACTACTGATCTCTTCTGCCCGGCTTGTGAGGAAGACAGAGACCAAATCTGATTTTTTAATTTTTTTTTTTTTTTAATTTCTGAAAGAGAGAGAGAGGCAGCATGAGCAAGGGTCAGAGAGAGAGGGAGATACAGAATGTGAAGCAGGCTCTAGGCTCTGAGCTAGCTGTCAGCACAGAGCCCGACATGGGCCTCAAACCCACGAACCGTGAGATCATGACCTGAGCCAAAGTCGGACACTTAAATGACTGAGCCACCCAGGCGCCACCCGCCCCCCCCATCTGATTTTTGTCCCCAGCTCCTGGCAGATGTCTGACATGTAGAAAATCAGTGACTATTTGTTACTTTGGTATGAGGCAACTGCTTCCTTTCTTGCTCTTTAAGAATGGTTGTTTTTTGTTTGTTTTTCTGTGTTAACAGCCTCCTTCTCCAGACATTTGGTGTGATGACCCTAAGTCAACTGCTTCTGTGCTGGTCATGAACTGCAAGATTGGTCACCCTATACTCAGCAGGTCATCTGTGAGTATGTTTTGGTCAGCTGACGCTTCTAACTTGGACTTTTTGGTGTCTCCCACATTTCAGTCTCATCTGAATCTCTGCGTTGTGGTCTCCACCCTGTACTGTAGTCAATCTACGGCAGAGCTTAGAGCTGCCAAGTTTGCTCTCCAAGTAGGGAGTAGTGGGGTGGGGGTTATAGCACAAACTGTTAGCTCACCCCCATTACAGCAGAGTGAGGTTGGGAGTAGTAAGGGCAGAGCAGCAGAGTTTGCATGGGTCCAAGGCCCAGTTCAAATGCCTTCTTACCAATACTTTTAGTTGTGAAGGGGGTCCCTGGTCTGCCACTGATGGTCTTTGTGCTGTGGGCACACTCTGAAGTGGTTTCTTTAACTGTACGAAGGGAAAATGCGGTCTGCCCAGCTTGCTCTGTATTGACATTGTGAGGCCTACGTGGAATAACAGGTGTGGAAGCATGCTGGGCCACAAAAATGTGAGGAAGATGAATGCTTTCCCAGGTCTGTTTAGTTAGAAGGAAGCAATGTGAATTGGGAGTAGTAGAGAGAGGGACCATGTGCTTTTTTTTTTTTTTTTTTTAAATAGGCAATCTTTTCAGTAGTTTGGCAGCTAGAGGAGAATGCCTTTCCAAACAGGACAGCCAGTATCATGGTGGGCCACAAAAATGTGAGGAAGATGAATGCTTTCCCAGGTCTGTTTAGTTAGAAGGAAGCAATGTGAATTGGGAGTAGTAGAGAGAGGGACCATGTGCTTTTTTTTTTTTTTTTTTAAATAGGCAATCTTTTCAGTAGTTTGGCAGCTAGAGGAGAATGCCTTTCCAAACAGGACAGCCAGTATCATGGTGACAGCCACCAAGTAAGTACTGCCTGTGTCACAGGAGGCCCAGGCTGTGGCCCTGGAAGGAGTCTCCTTCCCGTGCACATGTGTAAGAGCTATGGCTCCCTCACTGCTCAGGAAGAGCCTCAGTGAACCCACAAAGAACTTATGCTGCTGCAGTGACCTGGCTTTTTCTTCTTATTATCAGATATATTGGAAACCTTTTATTGACACACAAAGCAAAACTATGGTACAGTCTGGTAAATGAGCCTTGGACGCAAGTTCTAATTCTGGTTCATTTAACTTTGGACAAGTTCTGTCATCTGCAAAACTTCTACTTTTGGGGGTAGGGTATGGTGTTGGGGAAGGGTTCTCAAACAGGGATGATTCTGCCCCTCAGGTCCAGTGCCTGAACATTTTTCGTTGCCACAACTTGGGGGGGGGGGGGGGGTGCTACTGGTACCTAGTGGGGAGAGGCCAGGGTTGCTGCTAAACATCATACAGGTTAGCCTCTCACAAAAAAATTTCTGGACCAAAATGTCTATATTGTCAAGGTTAGGAAACTTTCAAAATCAGTGTTTCTCCAAGTATGGTCTTTAGCAAGTCTGCACTCTAATTACTTATCTTCAAGAGTCTTTTCTTATCTGACCCTCACCAACCCGGGGAAGCCAAGGTATGTAAACAGCTGTGTACAAAGCAGGTGTGCTGTGAACTGACACTCTTATTTCCTAGTCTCAATGAAAAACCGTCTTTGGTCAGAAAGACCCAGAGCCTACAGTTCAAGCATGCCTTCACTGCAGTTCTTCCCAAGTAAGTGCTTCCAAGGGGCCAACGCCTACAGTACAGCTTCAAGCACTCTCTCTTGTGTATAGAACTGGTGCTTGGGGCAGATGTGGGGATCGGCCTTCACTGACAGGAGGCTGCTTAAAGCCCAGGCTCCCACTGATCTCTAGGGCACTGACAGTTGGGTCCTAGAAAAAACCCCATGGCTATAACCGAAGGAGGAGCAGTGCCTACTGGTCTTGCTACAAAAGGTTACTGATGGAATGCTAAGGAGGGAAGGGAGGAGCTGTGGCACTGGGCAATAAGGAAGGAGAAAAGTAAGGCCACTCTGAGGAATGATAATTAGAGCCAGAGCCAGCCCAAATATACAGAATTCAAATATCCTACTGGATCCCAACTGCCCTACCACCACCTTATGGTTTGATATTCAGCTTTGATTCGTCTTAAGGATGTGGTGCCCTATGTCCTACTGTATACATCTGGTAGCATTCAGGCTCATTTGAAAGAAGGGGGGCCTTGAGGCCTAACAAATATCCTCTCAATTGCAGACCGTCAGTGATATATGTCAACACAAGCCAGGGGCCTTCTGTCTACAAAGAATTCTTCTTCAATGTAAGTGCTTATAATTGCAAAGTTACAGGTGGGAAAGCACCAGTTTGATTTCCCACTGTCTGACTGTATTTTGCAGATACATGGGGAAAACCTCTTTGGAGCCGAATTCCAGCTGCAAATCTGCGTTCCAATCGAATTACAAAATCTCCAGATTATAAGAGTGAAAAACCTGACAAAAATTCAGGTACTTAGAGGCATTTCTTTATCACGATCACACCTCTTTCCAGACTGACTATGGCTTCTCAAAGGTATATAATTAGAGTTCTAGAAAAGGAGTAAAAACATGTTTAGTTACCCGGGGAACACATTAGGAGTAACTTGCCAAAGTCATGTTCACAAGAAATATCAACCATTCAGCTCTTAAAACAACACTTGTTTTCCTTCCCTTGATGAAAAATAAGCAAAAATTCAAACTTTAATACACATGGAGACATTTATTTTCCCTCTGAAAACCGATAAATTCTGCTTCTCTTTGTGATTGGCAAATGAGCTTGAAAAACAGGAGCTATTTATTGCACTTCTCCCTATAAATTTACCATCTTCCTTTCCTCTGTCCCGTCTGTCTGTCTCTGCTTTGCTACAGCCTCTTTAATCTCGGCTGACTCTTCACCTGTAGGGTGGTTCCCTTACGCTACCTGCAGCCACAGGCTCCGAGCAGTATGAAAGTTGAGGTCTTTGACTTTCCTGGGTTTTTGGGGTTTTTTTTGCTCAGGGTACATGAAATGCCAAGGCTCAAAAATGAATATATGAAAAAGCATTTACAGAATGGACTCTGCTGACAGAAAGAGGCCTTATAATCACTTGTTCCCATATATAATTTATTTTTAAAGAATACTTGTTAATTTCAAAAACATTCTAGTTTCCACTTGGAAACCAAATTCTTATTTGAAAAAACTGATTAGAAACATTTAGAATGGGAAGTCCACCCTGGTCTAAGGATGAAGACTGAAAATGGCATCAAGGGCTTTAATACCAGTACCCTCTCAGTTTGGGCCAGTAAGGCAGCTCTGGCTCACTTAAATAGACTGTGTTGGCAGAGCAGGTCAGTGGCAGACCTGAAGTTCAGCATTGTCCTATAGAAATGCTGCATCTTTCTCTTCATTTGTTTCATGGCAGGGGTGTTACATTTAGTCTTGAAGGTCATCTGTTTCAGAATCTTATCTGTGAGGTAATGGAGCCAGAGCACATTATTGTAAGGGTGATATTCACCCCAGCAGTTGTTGTTCTCCTTCCTCATTAGCCTGTAGATCTCAAACTGGTAGTCACCTTTACCTGAAAATAGGTCCTCATCCATGGAAATGTCACAGAACACCACAATCCCATCCCGTTCCAGCCGTGACAGGGTGTAGTCAATGATATTGACTTGTAGTCCCCGGGTGGGGATAGTGCTCGTGTTCCCGTTGAGGGTGTAGTGGAGCTCTTTGAGGCTGGTTTTCTTTAAGAGCACGTTCCCCCAGTGTAAGTCTCGGTGCTCAAAGTGCAGTGATGCCTCGGCCACTGCGAGAGATGCTGTAATCTGGTGTAGAATGCTCTTTGCAGTAGCCATGGAGGACAACTTTGTTCTCATTTGTTCTAAGTCAGTCCCCCCAAATTCAAACTCCAGCACAATGAAGAGCTGGTCTTCCTCAAAAAAGTCAGGCCGGTCATTTGCAGACCCTTTAGTTGAGTGATAATGGTCCCAGGCTCTGAGGAGCAAGGGAGGGTAAGATCCTTGAACACAGTGCACGGAGTTCAAACCAATAAAGCCTTCTGTACGGTTGTGCACCTCATCAGACAAGAGGCTCAACTCTTTGGAGATGATGATCTCCGGCAGAATTTCCTCAAAAGTTTTCTGATGGGCTCCGTTGACTAAATCTGGTCCTTCGATAGCAATGATTTTTAGGGCAACAGGTGTGTGATTAACAATGGTTTGAAACACTTCACCAAACACCCCTTCCCCAATCTTTTGACAGCATTCCAATTTTTCTGTGGAAAGGCAATGGCTAAAGGGGACAGGACCCTCCTGATTGCATTCCCCATAAACCTTTTCAGCATCCGATACCTTTTTGTCTGTGACATGTAAAGACTTAAAGGGGGTTAGCAAATACATGGAAGAGCAGTGCCAAGAGGATGCAGCACTGTTTGTTCTGTTCATAACAGGAGGGTTTGGATATTCAGATAAGAGGGACTCAGAGAGAGAACTGGCAAGGGTGTAGCTACTGCATACGTCTGACACAGCAGTCACCGTCTTCTTCTTGTGGAAACTGAAGGAAGCCCTGGTTTTGGTCCAAGAGGCATTCTGTAAATGAGCCAGGTCCTGGGTGATGAATGAGTCTCTTTCCATCTTTTGGCCCTTCTTAAACTGGTGGTAGTGGAGAAGGGAGCTTTCTACTGTTTCCTGAAGCTTCCTTTTTCGCCCAGTTCTCTCAGGCCTGTTGACTTCCCCAGGTAGGAGACAGCCCTTGCAGCCATCCACCACCTCACAGTCTATCTGGACAGGCCCTGTAGACCCAATATGTTGACAAGAGTCCTGGTGTGTGGCTCTCTTCTTACCCATGCTTGAAAAACCTGGCCTCTCCAGCCTCTTCCCCTCCTGTTCCCTTTCACAGCAAGACTCCCTCATATTCCTCCAAACTGCCCCGCTCTCAGAATCCTCAGGGGTTCCAGAGTCCGTAACACTAAAGAGAGCTGACCTGAGGTTGGCATGGGCTTGTTGGGCCAACCTGGTGAACCTGCCTCTTCCCGTTGCTGCCTCCTGGAGGCGCTGGAGGGATGCTGGGTCCAGGGAGGCTTCTGAGAGGTGGAAGCCGCTCCGAACTTCAGAGGCTGCATCCAGAGAGGCGGGGGCGCCGGTACCGAGGACACTGTCTCCTGGCGCTGGGAGGCCGGGGCCAGGAGAGGCCAAACTGCTGAACAGGGAGGCACTGGTGCCCAGCTCGCTGCCGTCCCCGGGCTGGCTGCACGCACTGAAGTTCGGGCTCAGGCGGCCCGGGTTGCAGTTAGAGAAGGGTGGTGGTTCCAGCGGGCCGCAGGGGGTGCTGCAGTTCTGAGGAGGCCGAGCTCGCAGCCTGAGGCGTCTCGGAGTCACGATCAGACTCGGCCGGTCCTCGGAGACTCGACCGCCAGGGCGCCTCCGCTGTCGACCCACCGGAATGCCGAGGAAGTCTGGGTCATCGGGATCGTCGGAAGCGACAGACCGCGAGGGGCCGCCGCCGCTGGCGTCGCTGCTACTGCTGCTGCTGAATAAACGCTTCCGGTCTTTCGGCGGGAACCACGGCGCGGCTGCCCTGCCGGGTCGCCGCCGCGCCCCCCCGCCGCCCGCCGCCCCATACGTTCGGAAGAGGCGATTCCCGGGTCGCGGGAGCGACGCCGCCATCGTCGGCACCCGCCCAGAGGTTCAAATGCAAACATCGCGAGATTTCCCGAAGGCCGAAGCGCTCGCTAGCCAGCCTGCTGGGTCCTAGCGCTCGGCCGTGCTCATGCGCATCACGATGGGTCTCCGGGGAGCTGGGAGGCGGCGGCTAACTGACAGTTTGGCTTCCTCAAGGACGCTCTGCAATGGCTCTCGTTTCAGGACCACACTGTGTGCAGCCAGGCTCAGGAGAAAACTTGCAGGAGCGATCCCGTTCAGGTGAGCGTGGCCTTCCCGAGAGCGGAGGGAGGGAAGCAGGGCTCGAAGCGGGTGACCTGAGAGGGCAGATGCTCCTTTCCCCGTCGTTTACGCCTGAAAGCGTACGCGGGGCGGCCTCAAGGCGCTGTCTAGCCTCTTCTCTGGGTCACCTTAGCCACGTCTGGCTTTGCTTGAGCCAAGGGAACGCTGAAGCTTTATACACCTGCTATTCTGGCATCTTAGGGTGCTCTGCGTGCTAAGTGTTAAAGCTTTCGTCTTTTGCACTCAGAACGGCATTGTGCTAATTATAACCAGGGTTTCCTTTTCAGCGTGTGGAAAAATGGCATTCAGTGAGCTGTGTCATCACTTCAAATAAGGAAAATGTAACGGTGGCTGCTGAGCTCTCTTTGAGTCATTTTGAGCAGGTACTTGAGATGGGGAAATGCTCCAGATTTGCTTGGCTTGTTTCTCACGTGCATCTGCTATCTTTCGGAGAAAAATTAATAGCATCTCAGATGTAACATGTCCAAAACAGGTGTCCCGATCTACTTTTTGCCCCAGTCTGTTCTCTTACGCAATCACTTGGGGTAACAGGGTAACTTAGGGTAACTTACTCTAGTTATTTATCTTAGGAAATACTTGTGACTCCTTCCTTTCCTGCATCCCCATATCTATTAGAGCAGCACACTCTGTCATTCCACCTCCAAAATGTGTTCTAAATCTATTCACCTCTTTCCTCTCCACTGCTACTATTGTAGTTCTGGCCACCTTCTTTTGCCCCAGCGATTACAGTAACCTGTCTTTTTTCTCTTGTCTGTGCTCTTGCCATGCCCTCTACAAATCTTCCTTCACTTAACAACCATATTAAAAATAAACATTGTGCTACACCTCTCAAAAAAAAAAAGGCATTTGAATACACCTAGCCTAGTGGTGCCTGGGTGGCTCAGTAAGTTGAGCCACTGACTCTTGATTTCAGCTCAGGTCATAATCCCAGGATTGTGGGATTGAGCCCCATACTGAGCTGTGCACAGAGCATAGAGCCTGCTTAAGATTCTTTCCCTCCCTCAGCCCTTCTCCCCCACTTGTGTGCATTTTGTCTTAAAATATTTTTTAAAAAGTAAATTAAGGGGCTCCTGGGTGTCTCATTCGGTTGAGCGTCTGACTTCGGCTCAGGTCATGATTTTGTGATCCATGAGTTTGAGCCCCGTTGTTGGGCTCTGTGCTGACAGCTCAGAGCCTAGAGCCTGCTTCAGATTCTGTGTCTCCCACTCTCTCTCTCTCTGCTGCTCTCCCATTCGCTGTCTCTCTCTCAAACATAAATTAGGGAAAAAAACCCGTTAAAAAATAATAAAATAAAATACTTAAAAAATTAATTAATTAAAAAATGAGTACTTCTAGACTAAAACACAGTTTTTCAATGACCTGCAAGGCACTACGTGATCTAGTCTTTGCTGCTTCAACTTTATCTCCTAGTACTCACCTCTTTCCCACTTTTTAAAAAAAGTTTATTCATTTATTTTGAGAGTTTATTCATATTATTAAGAGAGAGGGAGAGAGAATCCGACTCTGGCTCCACATTGTCAGTCAGCATAGAGCCTGATGTGGGGCCTGAATTACAAATTCTAAGAAGGTGATCCAAGAGGAAATAGTTGGATGCACAACCAACTGAGCCACCCGGGTGCCCCCCCCTTATAAATATTAATTTTGAGAGAGAGAGAGAGAGAGAGCAAGCGAGGGAAGGGTAAAGAGACAGGGGGATAGAGGATCTGAGGCAGGCCCCGTGCTGACAGGAGAGCCCGACGGGGGCTCCAACTCACAAATCATGAGATCATGACTTGAGCTGGAGTCAGGGCCACTCCCCATCCACTTCTTATACTCCAGTTATTCTGTTCTTTCTCCAATATTGTTCTGGCCACAGGATCTTTGTACTTGCTGTCCCTTCTGCATGACCGTGCTCTTCCTCTATATCTTTATGTGCATAGTTTCTTATATTTAGCTCAGATATTACCTTAGAGAGGCCTTCCCTCATCATTTGTTCTAAAGTGGATACAACTAGGATAGACTGTAACACCTCACAGTAATCCAGGTGAGAGTGATGAGATCTGAACGGAAGAAGTAACAATGAAGGTTGGAGAAAAGGGACAGGTCAGAGAAAGAACAAAAATAATTGTCAAGAACTGATTTGGGCCCGGTGAGCAGTGTTGTGACATGAGGTAAAGTGTAAAAGAAAAGAAGTTGGGGAATGATCGCAGGTTTCTTGCTTGGGTGGCTTTGTGGTTGCCAAGACCACTAACTGGACAAAGGAATACAGGAGAAGGAACACGTGTAAAGGAAAAGATGCTGTCCAAAAATTGTAAGTCCATATGTAAAATATGTTTTATCTTCCTTCCATCTTACAGTTACTAAGAGATGTAACCGAACTGCAGATCCTTGGTGAAATATCTTTCAACAAATCTCTGTATGAGAGGCTGAATGCAGAGAACCACAGAACTCAGGTAATCCCTGGCTGTTTTCTGTTTTTCTGGACAGTGTCCTGGGGAAACTGCCTAGCCTTAGAGCCCCTATACCAACACTCTTCCTGTTTTCAGTCTTAACACCTCTGATCTTGACTCTACCACTAGCTGCCTCTTTGTGACTTTGAATTAGTCAGCATCAGCCTCAGTTTTTTCATATTTGAAATGAAGCAATTGAATAAGACACTTAAGCTGAAATATCTAGGTTGAAATCAACAGCTGTGTGTACTTTGACTTGAGAGTGTATTGTATTTTTAAAATCTGCCACGTGAGAAATTGTTTTTTTGTATACACTACCTGTCTTCCTAGTGTCCTTGTTTACTTACCGTAGTAACCAGTTACAATACTCAGGAGCACATTATAAATCTGAAACTAAATACTAGAAGTCTTGGGATTTCTTTAGCAAAAGTGTGAACACAAGTCATATTAATATGTGGGATCTATGGGCTAAGTGCTGTGTGTGTACTACTCTGAGCTGTCATTCTTGCTGACACTTAACCTACATGTGCTGCTGTCTTGAGAGAGAATCCATCTGTGGGCCCTTTAGTCAGGCATGATCATTACTAGAAGGAATGTCAAGAAAGGGAGACTAGATTGCTGAATATTAGGTCCTCTGATTTCCTTCCTGGGGATGAGAAATGAACAGTTCTCTAGACATGTCAGAAATAACATTTGCTTCTATTTTTAACTATTTCTAATACAGAAAATTATATGGGGAAAGAGAAGTGCGTCATTATCTCACTGCCCAGATTTAAAAAAAAAAAAAAAAAAAAAGAAAAGAGCAAGAAAATCCAAGCCTTACAGAAAAATATCAAGTGAAAAATAATGGTTCCTTCATTCCCTGCCCCTCTTTTCCCATGTCCCCAGCTCCCTCTTCCCAAGAGGGAAATATGGCCTACAGTTTCTTATAATGCACATTTGTAAAGAATTTATTTCTCCCTCTTGCTGATGCTTTTATTTCTATACATAGATTCCGTATAATTATTTTCCTTTCTTTCAATTCAGTACCCTGAGCAAAGTGTTAAGTTGTTCCTGACAATAAGCAACTAAGGTAGAATGAACCTATGAGTATAAATACCCGTGTATCCAAGTGCATTTCATTTGCAAGTAAGGGAAAAGACCCACTAATGTACCATAAGGGCATCTGTTGTTTGTCTGGTCAACAGCTTGGCTCCTTTGAATCTTGAGCCCTTCTATCTGTGTTGGTGATAGCTTCCCTTGTGGCCAGCACAAAGTTGCCACCTCTCTCAGTGCTATGTTTTCATGTGTCAGGATACAAAATAGGAAGCAGGAGATCAGTAGCGAAAGGAGTTTTTCCAAGTGTGCCTTCCTTTTTTAGGGAGGGAAATTTTCCTAAAAACTCCCAGCAGCTGTCCCCTTAAATCTTGTCTGTGAGAACTGGATCACATGTCAGTCTCTGGCAAAGGGGAATAGCTCTGGCATGATTAGCTTAGACCAGCCATGATTTCTGATAGAAACTTCAAAGGAGAGAACGGTTGTTGGGTAGGCCACCGTCGGCGGTCCGCTACAAGCAGTAGGTACCCTGTGTCCCGCTTCTCCCTTCACCTTTACCAGGATAGCTTTGGGGCACTTTGGGAACCTGTGGGTTTAGAAAAGGAAAAGGGGAAGAGGCTTTGAGAGAGAGGAGCATTTCTTTTACTCAATCTGGCCTGTTACATCACTATGACCTTGGGACTTCCTTTCATTTCTTTCCTAAACCCATACTCTCAAGTCCTTCCCCCTGCCACTCCCACTTCACTCTTAAGTAGGAGAAAAACCAGCTCTTTTCCTGTTCTTCTTCCCTCTCTGTTGCTCTGCTCCCTCTCTATTGTCAAGGCCTAGCAATTAACTCCTATTAAGCTGAATTAAATAGTTGCCTGGAGGGTCAACCCTAGGAAGTAACCAGCATTTATAACTTAATTAGAAGAGGCCTTAAAGGAGTAAATTTGTCCATCTTTCCAATTCATATAGCAATTATCCCTGACCTTGTTGCTTCAACACTTGCATGAAAGGGACTCAGTGTTTTGGGCTGGCAGAGAAGTCTTAGTGGACTTAAGTCCTGGAACATGCTGTGGCCATGGTGCATATGCAGACCACAGCTTTGGAGGGCCATAACTGGCTTTATTTGGAAACCAACGTCCCCTGAGCCTTCCAGCTGAGCCCTGTTAGTGAGAAGAGAGCATAGACTCTTGAGATTGAGACAGCCTTTAGACGACAATGCTGGGGATGCTTCTAATAGAAGAACTCTGTGAGTGCAATTGACCGTTGAACATCAGGAGGATTTGAAGTGCCAACTCACCACATAGTCGAAAATCCACGTATAA